CCAGGTGGCACACCTGTCATTAATGAATTTTCTATTTTGTTGAATATCATGGATATGTCAAATTAAGGTAAAAGTTCTAACCATCTTTCTTTATGTATCTTAAAGATATAACCATGTTTGTGACTCTTGTCTCTTGAATATGATATAGAATAACAAAAATATTCACTTGCCTGCTTCCTCAAATATCTGGCAGAGCTTCCATGCAGTGACTGATGTCATCTCACTGGGTTTGGCGACGATGGTGTTACCACAGGCGATGGCTGGGGCGATCTTAAAGGACAGGAGGTACAAAGGGAGGTTCCAGGGGCTGATAAGACCGGCCACACCCACTGCCTCCCTCACAGTGTAATTAATGGCACCCACAGGTTCCATCACTGTAGATCTGTCAGTAAGCAAATGATTCATTATTTAATATCAATGTACACGGGTATTCTGAAAGATAATTCTCTCTGATTTTTCTCTTACAAGCCATTTATTATGTCTCTAAAAACCATGCAAGTTTTACACACCTCACAGACACATGACACTTATCAAATTATGAAGTTTGAATTTTTCTTACAATGACATTATTTCATGTACATTTTACCTGTTCACATCATGAATAACTGATGTGGCATAGCTCGGAAATTGTGCATCAAGCGTGGAATGTCAACAGATTTTAACACACCGGCTTTCCCTGGTCTCTTGACTCCAGTTCAGCAAACTCATTTTGTCTCGCTTCAATCAGACAGCAATTCTCAGCATGAGTTTGATCTTCTAAAACTGGAGTGCTGGACCACCTAGATGAAACAAAAATACAAAATGTTTTAATTATTGGTTTAAGAAAGCTTTAATCCTTTAAGCAAGGAATGTATATTTTATGTGCAACAAGTGAAAAGTTTTTGTCAGTTATGAATCAGATTTTTTGAAGTCTTTAAAAAAAAAATATATATTTATTGTCTACAATGACACATTTAGATTTCAAATCTTTATATACATAAATTACATTGTCTGTTCACATAGTTTTATTGAATAACTTCAACAAAAACTTAATGTGGCTGTAGACTGGTGCCTTGATGTAAATTGTGCAAAGTATTAATCTTTAATAAAGCAGGTAGACACTTGAAAGAAAACTTCACACTAAACAAAGAACCTCTTGAATGTATTACTTCTTATAAATACTTGGGCATACATTTCACTGCATCTGGAAGTTTTACACTTGCTCAGGATGAACTTTACAAAAAAGCTTCAAAGGCATTTTTTAAATTACAAAAAAATCATTGAACCCTAAAATAAACACAGCTTTACATGTATATGATCATACAATAAAACCCATATTACTTTACGGTAGTGAAATTTGGGGGGCCTTTAACACTACTACATCACGATTTAGAAATGGACCCATTGCACTGGATGAATTATTTTCTAAGTCACTTTGTGAGAAATTACATTTGTAAATAACTACAAAATTTGCAGTCCTTTCAGAACAAACCCTCAGTATTGTTCAGAATATATTGTCTCATAGGTTAGAGCTTGACAATCTATTAAAAGTGATACTACCTCAATCCAATTTCAATAAAAACAATTTATCATGGCTATTGATATGTTTAAACAACTTCTTTAGTTAACACCTCATCTGAAATCATCTACATCAACATTTAAATATCATTGTAAACGCATTCTAAATTCATATTTTCTTGAAAAATGGTATCAAACAGAAGGAAGAATTATTATTGGTATTTGTGGGAAATTGGAACCTATTGCACAATTAAACAGAACTTTGGGGAATTATATAATTTTATGTTTGCAACAAGTACGGTATTCCAAGCAAGAGTTTTTGTCATTGTAAAATAGAAGAGATAGAAGATGAAGTAATTTTCAGTTGTCCATGCCATAGTCAATCAAGAATAAATTTACTATCCATGATATCTATGAGGTGTCATCTTTTTAATAGCTTGTCAAAAAATAACCAATTTTTATGGTTAAGAACTGTGAAGATGTTGATGTGCTGTTCAAATTGTGTGAATTCATAAGTCATGTATAGTTCGACAAATTCAAAATCATTTGAAGTACCTTGGTTGGATAAATTATGCTACACTATGTAAAGGTGTTGTTGATATTTGTGTTGTATTATATACTCTACATTTGACAGAAGTGGATAACTTTAATACATGTATAATAACAATATACTATCCTTCAGCACTGACTCTTGCTGTCCAAGTTTAATTAACACATGTTATAATTTATTTATATAATATATTTTTAGCACCTGTTTCAAACATAGCATGCATTTTGATATGTATATTCTTACATATATATGTATATCATTTAAACTTATTTACAAAAACCATCATGTATGTCTGTATATGAAACTTAAATTTTAACCAACATATATATCAGTACATATATATACTTAATAGAAGAATGTTCATGTTCTGTCTAAATTACTTTAATATTATGTTTATATGTAATTATATATGTTATATTTTATGCCTAATGGGCCCTGATTGTAATAATTTATTCTATTCTATAAGGACTTTAAGTTTATACTTATAATGTTCATCTAACTAAATAGGAAGGCTGTAATTATTAAGATGATGATTGTATTTTCAAAAGTGTTCAAAACAAGATGTCTTTTTGTAAAACATTGATTATTCTTTTTTTCTCCTGTATTTTTTTCAAAGAGAAATTAGTTAAAATAGAATACACGGGTGTTTTGTACTATCTTAAAATGTCAAAAGTTTTGCCCTCCAAGGAAGGTCTTGTCATAAGGAATACACAGAGGAAATCTGGTAGAACTTGCACCAACCATTCAAACATGTTCAAATGTTATGCTCAATGGAAATGTTTTTTGTGGATAGACTGACAGACCGAAAAGCACATATCTCCCCCCCCCTCCCAAAAGTAATCTTTAATTATGTTAAATGGCATGAAATTGTATAAGATATGTGCTGTTATTAAAAAATATTACTATGCAAAATGAATTACTACTAGATATCAGGCACGAACCCCTTCTTTCCCCCAACAGCTACTTTAAGGGTTTAATTATGGTCCAAACTGCACACCATAGGAGGTGTGTGGATTATCTGCATTTCGATTGGTCGATCCTATGTCAGTCACCAATAACTTAATACCCTATTGATAAACTTTTCTATCAACAATAATCGTTTTCTTCTTTCAAGATATTTTATTCAGAGTCTGATAAAATAGCTGGTCAATAAATCTGAATAATAAATGTATTTTTTAGTGTGGAGGAAATTCGGTTCAGATATGCATGAAAAGGTATCGCTCACTTTGGAAACGCAGCCTTGGCAGCGGTGACGGCATCGTTTACTTCTTTCTCTCCACTATCTGGAATCTTTGCCCAAACTTCACCTGTTGATGGATCAAAGCTATCGATATATTTTTCCGTCGAGACAAACTTTCCGTTGACATAGTTCTGCACGATCACCTTCTCCATTTTTCAACTTTTTATACGGCGCCAAGTTATGGACAAATATACGTCTTACAACAAAACAAGATTTAAAGAAAAATTATTCACATTTAATAAAATAAAATAAAAAAATAAATAAATAGACATCAACAGGGTCAAAACATTATCATGCTGTAATTACAGCTGAATTGTTAAAAAGTCGGTATTCTTTTTTTTCTTCCTATTATAAACTGTATGCATGCATGCATGACGATGGGGCTTCAGCTTTTCCATCGTCAGCTACATGTACCCTGGATTAAATTTATATACATGCATACGAATATTCACTTGCATTTGATGTTTATATCTTTCAACTGATTTGATACGCAAAAGTGTTCTCTGAGTACGATCAACTTTCATAAAAAAAACAACAAAAAAACAAAAACAAAACAGGAGGACTACTGACAAATAAGTTGATGTTACAATGCTTTCAACAACCCCGTTTAAAGCCAGCGTTCCCTCCACAATTTCTACGGTCTTTATAAATTTCTTTGGTTCGATGTTTGTTAATCTGATATGTTTCAATTAAACCAATTGTTGCTTTGGGTTCTTGCTTTTAAAATCTTTGACTCTAGGCAAGAGTAACATGTCAACAGAGAATTGTTACTCTTCTGAGTCACCTAATACCATTTGGGTCGATGTTTTTGCGCTCTTCACGATTAATTTTATTTATGATTTATAAAATTATACAAGATTGATCTCCGTTTGTCACTTTTTTTTTACAAAAACTTTTGACATCAGAAAATGAAGAGAAAAAAGAGTCTGAAATTTGAAATTGCAACAGGAAAGGAGAAAACTTATGATTGGAGGAGAATCTAACCCAGGACCCTCCATGACAAGTCGCAACGTAGTTAGAGGGGACATCGTAACGCAGTTGTGTGTGAGGGTGTGTGTGTGTGTGGATGCTTGTAATTGTGTATGCTAGTATGCATTGTGCAAAACAGAAATGACGAAATTTGCACCATGATCAATATCGAATACCGTCATGATTTTTAAGTATTTTTTTTTTGCGCTTTGTGGTGCTCTTGTTTAATTTGAATTATTGCTGAGAGTCATTCACAAAATTCCACGAGCGAAATTTAAAGATACCACCAATTTGATAAGGTGATGTCACCTGCTAGCAATCCGATAATATAATAATTACCAATCAAATAAAATATTATCGGACTAGCTGCAGCAATAACAATTCATTCCCTTGGTGATTATTATCTGTCAGTAAAATAGAATTATTAAGTTTTACTGTCTTAAAAAGACTTCTTTTTTCCCTTTGACTTTTAGTTATAAAGGGGTCAGATAGAAAGTATATGACTTCTCTGATTCTCATTAATTCATTACTTATAGAAATCATTCCTGGGAATTTACTAAGGAGTGTGTTGCCATAGTAAGCGGACATCTGTGCAAAGGCAATAACAAGGACACAAGTTGTGTCGATGAGGATGATTGCCTTGTTCATGGTTGTTGAATGAAAAGCAAGTCAATTCTGAGCGAAAAATGCTGATAGCTGATTTAAAACAAAGTTTGGTGTAATTTTTAACAATTTTATTCAACACATCGAAGAGCATAAAATCAATGAAGCAACCACCTCTGGTCTGGTAGTCAAACCCCTGCAAAGAGATAAAAAATTCTATTAAATGACAATTAACTGAAACAAAACCAAAAAGATATCCATAAAAGATTGTGACAATGGTCAACCCAATTACAATCAGTGTACTTTCTTTATTTTATGAAAGTGAAAAAAAAAATAAATGAACGCACCTGTCAGATGGATTTTCTAAATTATCTTGACAGCTTCTTAACCAGCAAGAGTTCCAGTGGTGTTGGTGGCGATCAATGCCAGACCGAACAGAGAGACTGAAAAGAAAAAAATGGATTCATTAATAAAGCTATTCAATTATTTGATTTTACGATAAAACGAATGTTTACAAACGCTTGCAGAGAATGGTAAATCAGTTTAACATAAGGTTACGAGAGCTTAGTTATTTAAAATTTCGCATTTTTGCAAGGAAGAAAATCATTGTTTAGAACAAATAATTATGAAAAATTGTTTTTTCTCCACTCTGAACACAAACTTACAAAGGCTAAGGAGAGCGGAGGTCTGGAGACCGTTGACGGACTTGTTGATGGTTCTGGCGGCCTGGGCACGGTTGTAGCGTTCGTACTGTTTGTAGTAGTTGTCATAGTAGTTGCTGCGAGCGGCGGCATTTCCTACTCCCACGGTGGAGGGGTATCCCACGCCTGTGCCGAGCATCATTGTGTTGCCATAGTAAGCGGACACCTGCGCAATGGCAATGGCAAGAAGACAAGTTGTGCCGATGAGGATTATTGCCTTGTTCATGGTTGTTGTGTTTGGAGACTAGACTGAGCAAGTGACGATGGTTCGCTGGTTTGCTCTGTTTTTATACTGATCTACCTTCCTTTAGCAGACAACTGTGATGTAATTTGTACGTTACGCGAAAAAAGCGTAACTGTGTAAAGAAATGTCTGCCGCTTGCGCATGTCGTAATTTACTGGTTTCAAGGCTTTGCTTGAAAAAAGACATTCAGGATGTGTTTGTGTGATGCCGCTGGACATGAAATGGGCGCGTTATCACTTCCCGGATTATTAATTGTCAAATACACTAAATTTTCATCGACCAGTTCATTTATTTTATTTTAGAATTAATATTAAAAAGATTTTACGGGTTTTGATGTTTGTGGAATCTTCTGTTTATTATCTAAGTGAATGTTAAAGCGTATACGTTCTTATTTACGGTTTATCTAAATGAATTTTCTGTATTTGGAATTTGAAACATTTTCATTTAACTGTGAATCAGGATAATTTATTTGTTTAATGAAATACACCAATTCATTTTCCATCTATTTATTTAATTTTCTTTTACTGTATATAGTTTCAGATTTGAAAGTAATTCGTCAAAACAAAATATAACCTATTTTCAAAGTAAATTGCAACAACTATTATGTATGATGACCAATAAAAAACATTAAGATAATTGTATTTTGTTAAACAAGGTTTATATCAAATTAAGAAGACAACAGTAGGATACCAATCATGGAACTACATCCAAAAATAATTGTGGTACCCCGCCCTTATATGTTATAATATCGATTTATGCAAAATTTAATTTACATTGAAAAAGTGTGCAATGATAAAAAAAAACTTTTAATATTCATTTTCTTATATTTACAACAACAGAATACCGGTCTAATCTCCTTTTATACGTATACTATTGCCCTTTATCAGACAGAAAACAACAAAATGCATTTCACCTGTACAGTTTTCTAGAGCATTGACTGTTCCATCAATGAAAATGTTCAGTGACGTACTTTTCAATGCTACACTATTTCATCTTCTAAATTATATTTAAATGGATATAAATATAAACAAAAAAATCTTTCTTTGTTTGTTATTATGGGAATTAGCGTTGCATCTATTACAGAAAAAATACGTGGGTTAGGCATTTTTTTCTGCAACAGCAGCTGCAGCATTAATTCCAGTACTAACAACAAAAGACAATGTTAATTTGTTAACTGCAGTTTCTACATGTTTTATTTAGTAATGCTATTTACCAAGAAATGTATATCTGTCATGAAGTACCATTTTGAAAATGTTTTCATAAAGCGTCAATTTGGCATAAACGGTTGAGAATGTCAACTACTATTCTATAAATGTAATCATTGATGACCTTCGTCACCTGCATATGGAGTTTATATATCTCAGTTGATTAGATACGCAAGAGCATGTTCTACAAATGAACAATTTCTAAACAGAGGTATATGATTGACAGGCAAATTGCTGAAAAAAGAATATCAACAGTTTCGTTTTAGTCATCATTTCGTAAATTCTATGGTCGATACAGCATAAATAATGATAAAAGTCAAATGCTGACTGACGTTTTTCATACGAATTTTTAGGCCATTATATACACTGAATTGTTGACAGATTTTTCCGTTATTTTCCGATCCCGACACGGAGCACACGGCTGATGTGACCGGTCAGGAGGGGAAACATCAATTTAATAAATAATGTCCTAAAACAATTTTGCAATAAACATGAACAGAACGAACAGAAATCAAGTTCAAAAGCTAATGAAATAATGAAAATTGTTCAGAGCAAACACGGGACCTCAAAGAACACTGGGGGTAGAGGAATAAGCATGCCCTATCCACCATTCAAAATGAACATGTTTTCCTTGTCACGGTCGGGAATAACGGCGAAAAATCTGTAGATGATTCAGTGTGAAAACAGTGCCTTCACAAATTGTGCATTCAATATCGCCAGTCTACATTCGAATTAATGTTAGGTTGTATTTACCGACAAGGTCATTGTATATCGACCACAAAATTTGCGAAATGTTGACTTCAAACGAAACTGTTGATATAATTGTTCCATAAACCCATTTATCAATAGCATTTTTCTAGTAAAATTTTCAAATACTGAGTATGAAACAGATGTGACAGACTCTACTGTAACTTTTGTATCGAGTTGAAAAGGATAATAACGAATCAAGGAAGAAATAAAAATGAATATTGTAGATTGATAAAATGTCGTCTATATATCTAATTGAAGTCCTCGTCAAGAGACTTCTTTTCGTTTATAAGTTCTAGATCTTTAATTTTAATACAGAAATAGGTCTGGTAATAGCTGAGCACTGTAAGTACTCATGGTAACTCTGAAAAATTGTTGGAAGACTTGATTTCCAAAAACTACATTGGTACTGTCTTTCAGAAACTCAACATCTTTTCTTCTTTTTTTCTTTACATTAATTTAAGGGTACTTATGCGTACAAGATTTTATTCTCAACATATAAATTTTTCAAATGATCATTGACAAGGTATGTAAAGAAGATGGGGGAACGAGGCGGTGTGGCAACGCACTTTGAAAAAATTACGCACTTTGAAATTTTTTTTCAAAGTGCGTTAAAATTGGAACAAAATAAACGCACTTTGAAAATTTTTTTTCAAAGTGCGTTAAATTTGGGACACACTCAACGCACTTTGAAAAAATTCTTCAAAGTGCGTTAAGAGTGTACATTACATGTAACATTTCTGCTATGGAGAAAGTTAACGCACTTTGAAAAAAATATGTATACAACAAAAATTCTAGACTTAGATTTTAGTAATTGAGAGAATCAAATTGTAATTAATAATATCTTTCGAAAACTTTTTTAAATTTACGTTATTGATTTAATCTCCTTGAGAACTAGGAGACGACGAGTAGAATATCTCTCAGCCCAACTATTTTTTCTCGTAAACATATAGCCATCGGTAGCAAATTGAACGTTGCAACCTTCCCCCCTGGTAAGCCCAATTTCCAAAGCCTTTACATGTATTATGTATATTTTTGCAAAACATTTATGTGCCTAAGTCCCCCCCTCCCGGTACCGATGCCTATATGTGTCTTACAGCCAATTATATGTATTTGCATAACTGGTATGACGTTGAAAATATCAATAAATTTTAGCTTACATGCATGCTATCTGGAAAAAATTAAGTACAATAAAACATTTAAGAGCGAAATAATTTTCAAATTTTGGAAAAATAAAAAATCACAGCCTGAAGCGACCTTAAAATTATCACCAAAAGGTAATCCAACAGGTTCAATTATTTATCATTCCTTAGATTTGAAGAATATCGACCATACACATTTTTTTTTCAAAGTGCGTTAATATGGTCGATATTAACACACTTTGAAAAGAAATTTTATTATTCAAATAATTTGGTCCCAAATTTAACGCACTTTGAATTTTTTGTTCAAAGTGCATAATTTTTCAAAGTGCGTTGTAATAAGGCGGGCAGAATGCCTATAGCGTCGGATATTAATAAATCATATTCAATGTGTGAATTGAGTTTTAAAATTAACTTCTCATTATTAAAATTTATGAAATTATGAGGAGAAAAAAAACTTTTCTGAGAGAAAAAAATCTCGTAAAAAATTTTCTTTTACAAAAATATGAGGATATTCGCGGGATTCGAACCCCTAGCAATAAAAATCCGACGTATGACTATCCAAATGCTTTGAGCCTAACGCACTAACCACTACGCTACAGGGCTCATGATGATTAATCATGCTTCTGATATGACCCTTGACTTAATGGACTTGAAGTATTTCTCGGAAAGATGCGAATGTTTTTTCATAAAAGTGTACTTTTAAGGTATAGTAGGTCTTCGCTCCATGTTTTTGTAAACCAATTAATGTATACTCTGTTTTATTGCAAACTTTTAGAATTATCTTTCAAAAAAATGGAGCGAAGACCCACTCATTTTGAAAAATTTTGTTGAAGTATGAGAGAATGATCGTGTTTGTTCTTTTTAGTGTGTGTATGTTTTTTCATAGGCAAATATTTCCAGTCTTTGTGAGATTTTTGTAAATTGTAGAGATTTTACATTAAGTATACTTTAATATTAGATGAAATATCAAATAAAGGTTGGATATAATTGAGATTAAATTTTCCACTTCTTATCTGTCGCACTATAGGCATTCTGCCCGCCTTATCTCCCCATCTTCTTTACTGGTTTCATATTTATTGAGAAACAGCTGTTTGTGACGGAGTTTAATTCATCGTGGTGTATGGTTAATCAAAAAGTGTTAAGATTGAAAGTTGTACCTTTTGACGTTATTGTTTTGCTAAAATGAAAAATGTATTTAATAGAAGGTAAAATAGATAGAGATAACAATGTTGATATATTACATTTTACATTTTTTGAAAATAGGATCTTAATTAAAAAAAAAAAATTACATAATTTTATTATTGACACACTTAACTTTTATATTATCTGAACCAAACTGACAAAAGTCACCTAGAATTATTGTTGATCCCAAATTCTGAGATCATATATGGTTTATGTAATTAAAGACGTAATAATAGTCACGAGGAAATCTTGACGTAACTTTCGATGGACAGATGCTCTGTTTTCATTGGTTCATTTCCTGGTCATTTTACTGGATCTGAAGGACATTACGTGACCTACCCCGGGGGTGACGGATGGATATATGTTGGGTTCCACACATACGAGTTCATAAAGTTTAGGTTGCGTACTGTCATGTACATTGTCACATCAATGAAGAGTTCTACATTAAGCTACTTCATGTCTTTAATTGAGGCAAAATTCTCTGATAATATAAATGAACTAGGCTTAGTACATGATACTATTTATGGTTTTCTGATGTAAAAAGGGACGTAGCCTTTCGCGTATTTCAAAAAGCAAAGCATGTAGATAAAACTTTTTGATGAAGCTCTTTTATGTAAGAGTAAAAGTTGATTAAAAACCTTTGCTAAATTACCAATTTTATTTGATTTACTGATTTAATTTTTTAAAGCATTTTTGATAGGAATCAGTTCAAGTACTAAAAAAATTTAAAGGAAACGTTTGTGAATATTAAAATCCGAAATTTTAATCATTTTATGAATAATTTATACTAATTTATCAGTTATTTGCATTTTATAGTATATTTCTTTAAATTTTTCCATATAAAAAGAATGAACCTTCTTCGAAAGCACAGAGAAAAAGAGGTCAAACACACTCCATATAAAGATATACAACACTGTGATTGTTACACTAGATTTGATAAAGCAGTATTAATGTTTTTTTCTGTTTGTGTCATGATTTTGTTAAACGTGTCATGCAATTTTTTTAAAACACGTTCTTAAAACAGAGAGCATTCTTTTCAAAAAAAAAAAGAAAAAAAAAATTACAGGCTTGTATCATCCAAACGTTTAAAATTTTTGCTTGTTTTTGAAACACAATGCATGGTAAATGGTGAAATAATCTAGTTACGTTACGCCACCCTTCGAATATATAGATCTGCCTTGTTAAATTCGTATTGCTGTCCTTTAGTTTAGAGGACTATATGTTTTCATTCTGCATTTAGAAGTAAAATAAAATCGGATAAAGTATTGAAAAAAATCAATTGTAAAAACAGATCGCATTTTTTTTATTGGATACACATTACAATAAATTATTCAATTAATATAAACAAGAAAATAAGAAATAAAAGTGACCTTCACTTTATTGGAAGAAACATATTGTTAACATCACGCAGGTACTTTGGTCGCCCATCCCTGAAATCAAAAGAAAAGACATTTATAAACCATTTTATATTTAAGTATGATAAGCAAGCTATATTTCTATAATAATATAAATATTCCATAAACATTGTATCTGGAGGCAACGGAAAGTTAACTATCAACTGAAGGAGAAACAAATGCATTTTATAAACGACTTACCTTAAAATAAAATTGTATTTGAAGATCAAATGAATGTCTTAACCAGCAACAGCTCCGGTGGAGTTTGTAGCCAGTAAACTCAATGCCACGGTGAAGGCTTAAAGAAGATGGGAAAAAAAGTGAGTTTAGTTTTCCGATAAAGAAGTAACCTTTGTTTCAGTTCATGTACATGTAGTTTTATTCATTTAAACTCTAAACAAAAAGACGGAAATATATAAGAACGGGGTCTTTGGTAAGAACAAAAAAAATTAATCCAAAACAACTGAAGGTAATTTGTATATTCGTAATTCATTTACGCATTGACCAATTACGTTTTGTACAACTTTTGAACTGTTTAAACATTCAAATTAAACACTCACCAAGGTTAAGCAAGCCTCCCAGTCTAGTGTCGTAGGTAGCTTGTCTGATAGCCTGAACAGTCCTTAAAAGGTTTTGTGCTTCATTGGCTTGTGTATACTGTTGATTAATGGCGAGGGCGTACAGATAGCCGTCCTGCTGTGAGAAGGACTGTTGCTGAGCAGTATTGGCTGTTGGTCTGTACATATTGTACAATGGACGAGTCTGTGGCCTGATCACCATCACTCTTGAACCGCCGCCCTTATGATGCTGGCACTAGAATTTGGGAAAAGATACTCAGTAAAACATTTTAATTATCGCAAGCAATTTTGGATTTTCTTCGAATTCCATCATTTTATTCCAAAGAAACGTGTCTCAGAGAGATTTGAATCAATTCAAATTTTGCAAATCAGATAATTTTTCCGAAACACAAGAAAATTACTTTATAATAAAGAAAATATCAAAATTGAAATTATTGAACACCGCAGAAAAAAAAATAAATCCAAAAAGTAAAAACTGATCCAAAATTAAAAGTTGCCTTACATGGACCAGGACAAAAACTGCCAACAGGGTCCCAACGATGAATAAAATCGGTTTATTCATTGTGCTGGCGAATCCCCCTTTCGGTTGGTGCTAACAAATTGGAGATTGATGAACTATTGCTAGGGTAGTTTAAATACCGCCAAAAATCACGTGATTTCCGTTTTCTTTGGCTTATGACCGTTTCAGGAGAGGGGCTTTGTAACTACGGGATAACAAGGACACGAGAGATAGATGGGATCTATGAATATCCTACGATATTATTAAGTAACTGGTGGTAAATGCGTACGGTCGCTGTCGCTGTTTTGCATTCGCCTGGCTCTGTGGTACGGGAATCATATATCCCGTGTGAAAATTATGTAGTCCATTTCTGTCCAGCAACTCTGAACTAGGAAACGTTGCCACTAGAGCAAAACATCTGCATGTAATATTTATCATAAACAGTTACTGTGCTGACTAGTTCAAAGAAAAAAAAAAGACAGAAAGTTATAGAACATGGTTCTTAACATCATCCATCATTTTTTTCTTGAAAATTCTTTTACTACGGTACTAATTAATTTAGAAAGTCTTTTATTTTTGTCGACAAAGGAGAAGCTTCACAACAAAAAACTAGTGTATATCAGAGATTTTTTCCCCTTTAATTGTTTATTTATTTATATTCTTTTGTTTCTATTTCTCTTTTCTACTCCCACTCTGCATTATACGAGATCTATCGGTATTTCTTTGCAAATAATGCAATACAGACGGCTAAAGTTGGAACAGGGTAGATATTTCTTAAACGCTACTTCGTGATACAAGATCTTTATGGATATTCAGTCTCTTTTTTTTTATACATGCAACTCACAATTGTATTATCTTTTTTTTAAAACAAAGTCTTTGGTTAAATGTGAAAAATAGTTCACCAAAGAAGTTGTGATATTTCTTGAAATTACAAGAAGTAAGTTTTTCTTCTTGTTCTTCGACAACTTGCACTTCTATAGCTAAGTAAAAAGTGATTCTTATGAGACTATTGTGCAAAACTGACAGAGTTAGATTGATGCTAAGAGAAGTTATTACCACAGCGATGTTCCCGTCCCTGCGTTCATCAGAAGCGGTTACAAAACCGATCACGATACGCTGCGGGGTCGTGCTTTCCAGCTACGCAACAACCCCGCTCATATATAAACCTAAGATATCCAGGTTCTGAGATCTCCATCAAAACGGGAAAGCAGGAGATTCGTTCGATCATTAAGCTTTGAAGATGAATAGACAATTTTTCTTCTTAGCCGGAGTCTGCCTGTTGGCTTTTGTGGCAGTGGAAGTGAGTGCCATGTACGGTATGGGTTATGGAATGGGTGGAATGGGTGGACTGGGGGGTTACGGTTACCCCTCCATGTACCCAGGCTTTGGGGGATTAGGAGCATACAGGGGAAACGCCCAGGAGAGAGCTAAATATCAAAGAAATTTGATGGCTTATAGACTGGCACTGAGAGACTGGCAAAGAAAAGCCTCAAGGACAATTGTCACACGAAATGCTCTCAATGATCTTGCAAGGGCTTCTACTTTCAACAAATGGACTGCTTTGGGTATGGAATTGTATTTTTTCTGTCCTTTTTCTAAATTATTATTTTTGTAATTTTTTTTTAACTAAGGATAACATAAATAACTAACTAACCACTAGTTAATAAGAAATTTTAGAGATTCCAGAATAATATTACTTTCCCCTCTTTTTTTCAGTGCCTGGTATCCTTACATTATTGGCCTTCTCCAATTCCACAGCTATTCCCCTCACCGGATAAAGTTTCTAATACAGCGATTCTATTAACACTTGGTAAATAAATCCCTACATTATATTTAAGCAACAGATACTAGTATCAGAATTATATTGATTATTTAAAGTGGGGTACTCGTGTATCGCAATTATTTCAAGACTACTTAACTTATTTCAACATATCGAAGACTATGTGATAATTTCTTTATTCATTACGCTAAATATATTAAAAAGGAAATAATTATTAAAATGATAAATTCCTTGTTGTTATGTATATATTCTTTAAAGGTTCATAGACAAACATGAGTTATTTATTTGTATATTGTGTATCTTTTAAGGGGCGGTGACGATGCGATGCGCGGTATGCAGAAACATTATTTTTGTGTCATTTTATTTGAATAAACACTTCTTATATTGTACTTATTGTGAAGTTGTAACGAGGCATTATACCCATATAGCTACAAAACACTCTTCAACAGAAGATAATCAAGGCAATTTTAGTATTTTAAGAGGGGGGGGGGGACTCTACGACTATTCTGTTTTATTTTTAATAGACATGTATCCGAGTTACTGTAAAAGACAACATTTTATATTATATATTTTTCAAAAAAAACAACAACATTCGAATCCAGGTTATTCTTAAAAGGGCATTTGTTTGGACAGAGAACGTGGAGAATTTTTTCATTGACTTTAGTCCAGCTTGTTAAAAAAAAGGGGGAAAAAGGAGAAATGATAGAGCGAATAATGAAATACAGAAAATTCTCTGTTATTGTTAGGAGATGAATTAACAGTGATTTGCACAGTATTAAAAGGATAAACTTTATATTTTGATGGATTTAAAATTTAAAACATTTCAGAGGTAAGGAACGAAAGATTCATAGTGATAGGGAATTAAAAGGATGTCCAGGGCAAAAAGTTGAAGCAGACAGTTAATTCAATTCAGCCCGAAACAAGCGGTCGAAGTTCGGGCACAAAACCCCGAATGAGATTATGTGACAATGGTCTGAGATCCGTAGAGACATCAGTCTCTACGGGTCTCGCTAAGACTAATGGTAGTGACGTAGATACTCAGTATTAAAAATGTCAACGATTTTTAAAAAAAAAATCATATTTTATGAAGAACCTTTATTATGTATGATAAAAAGCTCTTAGAAGATTGAGTTGATGCATGATTTGCTGTATAACACAGAATCGTTAGAATTTCAATCATATTGTTATTGAATAACAACAATATGAAATCTTTAAATTGAACCCGAGGTTGGTACTGGATCACTTTATATCCGCGTTATATACTGCAGAACAGAAAGAAATAGTTACTTTATAAAAATCATAATTTGATTATGCCGTCGACCTAGATTGAGATATCGATACAATGTATATTTTATGGCATTATATTTGTCTCATTGGACGAAAAAGCTGTATACTTTTTTTCTAGAGCTCTCTCTAGCTTATTTGTCAAATTTAACAATTAATGCATTGTTTTTGTTAGAAAAAAGTATACTCTATGTTTTATCATTTACATTAAAGTAATAAATATAACTGATTACATGTACATGCATGTATATACATAATATATTAAGGATGTCTTTATAATGAAATCGTTAATTAAAATATTGTGTAGTAATTTTTTTTTCAACGGGTAATATTTGAAGCTAAAAATTTTGTTCATTCATCTTGCACTAAATTCTATATCGTTTGAAATTTTACGATTTTTTTTCTATTTGCAAATGACTTTTTAGCAGAAATTAACCGTTACAGTGTTTGTTTTTTTTACGTCCCAGTCGAGAATTTTCCAATAAAATTGACGCGCCACCACCTGCCGGTTAAAGGATGCATATTTAGATATTTACCCGCTTATCAGAAAAAAATAAGGGTCATGTAGTAGAGAAGCATCTTCGAAATAACTTTTTGTACGCGAGCTACGACGACACGGAACCTCGGGTAATGTCTCATCTGATGAACCGGTCTCTATTTCCTATGAAATTGGATACCGTGACGTCAGGATCAACCCTTTACTCTGTGACACTCTCGATAAACAAACGCTAGATTACCATTACACGTCACGCTGGCGACCGCCACACGGTTTGGTTTATTCCGAGGAAATGACTTCAGATAATACTGACTACATCCGACAAATACACTGAAAACATTTAACTGGCTTCCTTTTCAACTGTTGAATAATTGTACCGATTCCTGTAAATATAAGAAAAATTCAAAAATCATGGAAAAGAATGCATGAACAAAAAAAAAAAGACTTTCATATGTAATTGTTTTCTAATAATTCTGAAAAATAGTTTAATTCGCTTTGGATGAGAGATTGAATTCTGGAGACACCTATTTTATTGGTCAGTGTCGCATGTTGAGTGATCTGCAACGATAAATTCAGAACATAGAATTAAAATTAAGGAAATATCCAACTGTTTTTTTTTTATAGATATATAAATATTTCAACTGATGATTAAAGGAACATCAAATGATTTTAAAATACCCCGGTATAGACCTTACATTGAGCCTTTTCTAATTTTGCAAAATGCTTAATCAGAATGTCCTTTATTAGTGGATACTATGCAGACAAATGGCTACTATACAGGAAATATACCTCTAGCTAAGACCCTGGAGTTAAAATAGAACAGACAAGTTATAGTCATTTTATTTTTCAACCTTACTAGATTCTGTTAAATATTGCCGTTTAAAAAATATTTCCTTTTAATTAACGATTTTATTCCTTTCAAAGAGTTTCACTCTATGTTGTGATAATGTTGTCCCTATTTTTCTTGTTTAAAAAATGTCGATCAGGGATTAATAATCAAAATTTTCCATCAGTGGAAAAAATATTCGTACACTAGCAAAAGATAAAATTCAAATGTTAAAATTAAAAAAAAAAAACGACCATAGAAATTGCTAATTGCGCAAGAAATGAAAAAAGAGGAATTCGTTAAGTATTTATTTTTAGATATTTAGAATATTAAAGAAAAAATTTTTAAAAGAGAGCAAGGAACGGGAAAATTATTGACCGTCAAAATGATAAAGAAATTAAGAATTGTAAATAAATAAAAATTACAAATACTTACCCACCACATGAAATATGAAAATTAAAATTATTTAGCATATATCTAGTATTAAAAAAAACTTTTTAAAAGAACCTTCCTTTGCTTTAACAAAAGATTTCGCTTTGGAAATCTATAAGGAAGTGTTCTTTTAATACACATATGTATGAAATGCCCTACAGAAAAATTCAGTATTACTAGTTATGAGAGAGAAACCTTCCCTACATCGGATTACGACACACGGACTACCTTTATTTCACACAGACAACTTTAACACACCCGCCAAGCAGATACGTAACATGCAAAAATGCTCCTCACGTAACAGACCAAAAGACTTGGTATATATAGCCCGGTCAATCAATAAGTCCACAATCCTCTCTCTTCATTTGAGTATTCCACTAGTTGGGGATTCGCTTTCGTCAAACCAGCACCATGAACAAGTCCGTCATCTTGATGATCCTGCCATGTGTGATCGCTCTGGCCGTCGTTGCTGTTGAGGGTATGTACTACTACCCTGCAGCCCAGACCTCAGTTGTCGGGGGAGTCGGAAACACCGCTGCCAGACAGGCCTACCAACAAAGATACCTCCAGGAATGGTTCCAGACCCGCCAACAGAGAAACCAGCTGAACAAACTCGCTAAACAATCCACCTTCTCAACCTTCGTCAACTACAGTAAGTTTTAGTACTGGATATTTATTTCATATCAATTATATTAAGATTTGTGATTTACGCCTGAAGATGAAAGAAGATGAATAATCATACTAATAAATAAATAAAAGAGTTTTTCTTGCCAGTTTTAAGACAGAGTGTCTTTGTTGTAATTGTTTCTAATGAATAAATCTTTTCTTTTAGTTCCTCTGGTTCTTCTGTTGACCACCCTGACCAACAACACCGCTCTCCCCATCATCGGTTAATCATCTGATGAACTGTGGAGAAAGAGAGGCGTAATACACTAACAGGTGCGTGATTTAAATGAAAAATAGTTCTTGCTTAACTTACCCAGACCTTGCAATTGTCTTAAATTTCGCAGTTTACAACGAAATTGCTTACTGATATGTTAACAAATTAGGGAAGAATCCCTGAAAAAGGCATTGAATATCGTTATGAAAAACTTTTCTTTTATTTCAACAGGGGAAGGCGACCAGATCAGAAGGGATGTGCTGTTAAATGACTGTTGAATTAATAAAAATATAAAACTTACTTTATCTTAAGCTTTTGTCTTAAAAAAGGTTGAATATTGAGAGGAAAGTGACATTTTACATTATGAATGGTATGATTTTATATTATATGCATTTTACTAATTTATTGAAATGCAGGTAAATTCAATTTGTTTGACATGGAGAAAGCAGATATAAAGTAACCCAGTATAGATATAAACCCATAATAAAAAGGGACAATCCTTCAACTTATTATGAATTGCTTTGCATTGCGAGTTTTTGTCTGAGAGACTGTAAAATGCACAAAAATTTAAAAGATTTATAACCGGTCTGAAATGAAAATGATAGGAACATTCCGTAATCAAGTACAAAAAGCATAGACTTTACAATTTTACATAAAACAAGTCAACCAAAATACGACACAGTGATAAGTTTTACTGAGTATTTGCTAATAAGGTCATTATAACGACTACAGAATTTACGAAATGTAGACTTTAAATGAGGCTGTTGGTATCTTTGCATTTTCAACTTTTGTTTGAGTAACCTGTTTCGGTTTGAAAATTGCTCTTGAATAGTGAATACGTTGGGAGACAAAAATATTGCCCTCTTTTGTGTGTCGGGCAATATTTCACCCCTTAGAGGCTATAATAATCATTGTTGCCATCAATCATGTAATATTTGAATATTTGCTGACAAAGCAGGTACTAACATTGTCTTCGTTTGTAAGGCTCATTATAAAAATATTATTTTAGAAAAACTTTAATTCTACAAGTGGTAATCCAACTTATACTCTTCGTTTCCTTTTTAAGGAAGAATTTCTTCAAAGTTACATGTCAGTTTTGAATATTTTTATAATCCCAAAGAACCAAATTGAATTTAAACTACCATATCTATATTGGATTCCGAAACTTAATAAAAAGCCTTACAAACAAAGGTACATAGCGGGTTCCAGTAAATGTTCATCCAAGCCTTTTTCACTAAGATATTAACTAAAGTGAAGGAGAAACTTCAAGAGTACTGTACAACAACAACATATTCAAGATGTGGTGTAAACCAGACGTGGATACTTAGAAATTCTAAAGAACTTATGGATAATTTGAAATCACAGTATTTTACCAAAAATCAACGGCTTAAAAACTTACGACTTCTCAACTCTATTCCACACTATAAATCAAAATCCAGGTTTTTGATGTCATTGACA